TGAAAAGTATTTCATAAATACTTAATACATACTTTTTTTTCTTTAAAGTACTAAGTAAATATTAACTCAATAAAAAATTGTTAAACCAAATTAACGATTTTTGTATCAAATAAAATATGTTTACATGTTAAATATTTACTTACGTTAAAACTATTTAAATAAACATTTATAAAAATTTATTTTTTTTTCAGTATAGAAAAAAATCTGATTGATGTGTCAAATAAGCGAGTCAATATAGCCGAATTATCTCAAAAAATTCCCGTTTCTGTAATTATTTTTGTAAAATAAAGTAATAAAAATTTTGTGTCAGAAATTATTTTCATTTTAAGTTTACTCGCAGAAGCGAGTCTTGCCGTGGGAAAGAGTCGCGAGTGAATAAATCCAAACAACACAAAGTCTAAAATTGTGATATAAAACGTCTTTAAGGACGCAAAAACCATCTTACCCGATTTTAAACACTTTTTGCTATCTGGGTATGGACAAGAGGACTATCAGCATAACAACAAATTTTAAAAGAATTTATATAAATATTAGTAAAAATTGATTGGAGTTTAAATTATTGCGTCTTTTTCCATTATACAATAAACACAAAGTATAATACATAAAATCAATGTTATAATATTACACTCAACAACATAATTGTTACATAAAATATATTATAATATCTGTATATTGTTGAGTGTGAAATTATGACATGGATGTTATGTTAGTTGATGTCTTATGTACAGAAATGATGAATCATCAATCAAGCCTAATCAGATCTAACGCTTACAGAAACGATTCAGAGGCAACCAAATACGTGTTTCTCTAATTTTTCTAGATATCTCGAGTTTTTGCCCAAACATAAAATTGTCTCTACAAATACAAGAGATTAGAAAAACGACGTATCTCGCGCTTCACGCGGACGGACGCAGGCGCGAAACCAATGCGAGATTTCGGCATGTCGGTACGGAATGTCAAATGCAAACTCACGTCTACAATTTGTACACATAAACACGCACGCAAAAAGAAAAAAACGCATGACAGGGCATCACACCATTCCTACGTGACGATCAATCCAAACAACAAAAGGCGAGTTTGCTTACATTCGATTGACGTACTGTAGAGTCACGCTGACGATCTCACCGACGAGCTCGTTCTCGTTGACGTCGTAAACGCTCACCTTCACCGGCAGCTGATCGTCCGGGTTCATCCTGGCGACGAATTCGGCGAAGAATCGCGAATACTCGCCGAGATAATTGCCGTCCGCCACGCAGTTCGCGGCCATTGTCGCTTCGTGAGACGCTCGTATAAACGCGCACGTGCTACGGAGGAGCGACGCGCGACGCTAAGCCACGCCACGCCACGGCAACGCACGCTTTGCTCCGGCACCGCTCCGCTTTGCTCCCAGCTCCCGGCGCGCCCCGGCCCGCTATAACGCGTCTCGTTCCGCTCCGCTCCGCTCGTAGTGCGCGCCGAACTCGTAACGTCACGGGATAATGCGGATCCGATTATACTCCACGACACCGTTCTCACCGACTCCGATTTATTACGAGTTAAGACACGTCAACCACGCGATCCGATCTACGCAATATTTATATATCTATATACAAGTTATGTCATTCATTCAGCGGAGCGTCCGTCGTTCACCGCGTCGCACACACTCGCCAACCACTACTTGGTACAGACGCGGAACA